AAAACCACCTGTGTTAGTCAAGGATGTGCTTTTAAAAAAAACCAAACCAAACCCCCAAATTAACAACAAAACAAAAAACACAACACCTTTTTGCCTGGAATAATGAGTACTTTTTATTGGAGTAGATTTTAAAATCTCCCTTGTCGTTCTAGCTCTTTCATTACACTAGCTTTTTGATTGAGTTATGTGATTACTGAAGAGCTAATTAAAAAATTATCATGTGACCTCACTGGGAAAATATTTCTCTATTCAGAGGAAGGAGATTTTTAATTAAGCTGCTCTTTTGATGAAATAGTTTTGTGAATATAACAATGTCTGAGTACTTTGCTATTTAAATATTTCTTGAAGTAATAAGGTAGAAAATTTGAAAATAAAAATAGAAGAAAATGCGTCAGCGAGGATAACTGAGATCTGGAACTGAATATTCTTTGAGTTCAGATTAATAACCTCATTGCTAGTTAAGCCACAAAAATGTTAATATTTAAAGGTAATGAGGTGCACTGAGAAAGGCACTCAGAGCAGTGCTAGCGAATGTTCTGGAAGTTATTGATCCAATTACGGTGTCAAAGGGAAGCTGTAGAGTGAAAAAATGCTGCCATGCTATTAATAAATTCTTGTTTGTTGATTAAGGGCTATATTCAGGTGCTATATGTTCATTTAAATGAGATCCTAACCCGCTGTTTGCAGAAATGATGCAGTGGGTTCTTCTCTGGGGCAGAACAGGTAATGGAAATGAGCAGAGGATGGGGGAGAAGAATGGAAATATCAACAAAGGAGCCGGGGAAAGTAAGGGGCAGAAGCCTTGTGAGGTTCTTACAGGAGCAAATCACTGAAGTATGTCACTAATAGGGCACAAATTTTGGCAAGATCATAAAAAGGCATAATCCCTGCAATTGGATGTACCAGATAGGACCTGGTTGTCAAAGCCCTGGAGGCAGTCAACATGGCTTTATCTTTATTCCCAGGTACCAGCAGGTTTTATTAGAAGAAATCACCCCTGAGGCAATTCTTCCTATGAACTTGCCTAATTCAGCTACAGTTAGAGGCTGAGGAACTACAGGGAAAGGTGTTCATTCTGGGTCCTTTTGGGGGACATGGCAACGGGCTATGTGGGCTGAATGAGAGCCCGTGCCTGAAGCAGCAGAAGGATCTCACTGGTGGGAAGAATTCTCATGATAAGGTGGAAGGAAGAAGAGACTTGTAGTGCATCTGTCCTCGTCATTGTGCCCTGAGCTTTTTTTTGTTGTGTGTCCTGCTGTAGAGCACTGGAGGACACACACCAGCAAATAAGGGAAGGGCCCCTTTCTGTGGCAGTTTCTCATTGTTAAGGGAATGGGCGTACTGTGTGAGAGACCATATGCCATGGTGAATAACACCACACCTAATGGCTGTGGAAGGATTTTCAGCTCACCAGTTCCTGCTTCTCTCCTGTCTAGCAGGTTGCTCTTTTTTGCTTTTCCTGTCTTTCTCGAACATGAATACCAGGTCTTCTCTCTCCCTCAGTGGCAAACATTGACTACAGAAAGTGTGGTTATTTGTATGTGGATAAATACTGTGTAATTGGAAGACTACTCAATTGACCCTTGGGTCTGGTACTGCCAGAAGCCCCCTCGTTCCTCTGTATTACAAACTTCTGAAACTGTGTAGTGCTCACTACGAACCTGCAAAATAATCAGCGTTACACCACCCAGCCAAGAAGGTAATCTATCACAGCTGCTTATTCTCACTTACTTAATGCAGGAACCTTTTGTCCCGAGTTGCCACATAACTAGTGATCCAAGTTAAGCTTATAATCACATTCTTATCATTACATGCCTCTCAGCAGCAGCCTTCTCACAGTGGAAAGCTGAGTCTGCTAGAAATAGACTAGCTAAGCTGTTTGCTGCCATATCTATCATACATACATTTATGAAGCCCTGCACAGTTATTCATTTTAAGCAAGGGCAGTAATTTTGTTGTCTGCAATGCTATTAGGGCTGGCAGAAAAGTAGCAGAATTATCTCAGCCTTTATTCACTCCCATGAAGAAGAAGAATGTGGTCTTAGAGAAGACCATGAAGAAGAAGAATGTGGTCTTAGAGCCGTAATAGAAAATGGAAGTGGCTTATTACAGCACGGAATGTTACACGTTCATTTGTAGAAGGAGAGGACACAAGTGCTGTGTCAGGGAACTGTGCAAATGTTCTTCTCCGCTTGAAATAGTTGGATACCTTTTCCCCCAACAGATGACAAGCAGCAAAGCGGAACAGGGGAATCGGGAGCGTCAGTGGGAACACACCTGCTTACAGAAACCTGCTTAGAAGATACACCAGGGAACTTAGGTACGTCGGAAAATCCTGCCCTTTCTCACATCCATCCCCTGGGCGGCTGGCTCCATCTTAAATGGGTACAGCGCTGAAGTGGCCACATGTGTGTTGGAGATAGGATCTAGTCTTTCTTCCTAGCGACAATACCTTTATTCAACAACTCCTTTCGTCACCCTGATACTCTGAGAAAGTTAAATCTCTGCATAAAAACGTTTTGCGTGGGCTCAGTACACGGGCCAAAGGGAAAATTCCGGAGGTTTGCAATAAAAAGCCCCTTTCTCAACTGTCTCCACAAACAGCAAAAAACCTCTTTGAAACAGGATCTGTGAGCCCCGTGACTCTGGTTACTCAGCATTGCTGGATGATAACATACTGCAGCTAGGGAACAGAAGCGCTTCAGGTTTCCAGAACTTGTGCGGCAGTGGGTCACTCTTAGGCCATTGAAAGCACTTGTTTGCATTTCTATGGGTGTTCCCTCTTTCTTCCTTTTAATAAAAACAACATCCCTATTCAGAACAAACCAAAAATCTCTCGAGTATGAAGCATGATTTATAACACCATTTTATGTAGCTTACGACAATCAACTGCATGGTCTAGTTTAAAAAATGCTACGCTGTATCCTACAGGTTTTCCTTTTCCTACGAGCTCTTCCCTTTTCTGAGCTCCACACCGAATAAAGCCAAAGAAGCAGAGCAGCACAGGGAAGGGAAGTAATGATGACAGCTCTGGAATGTTTTTAAAGTTACTCCCACAAGCTCTCTCATATTTTTGATTGCTGTTGTAAGACTTCTCCTCCATACAAGTCTTATGCATCAGTAGAAAATGTATTAAGCATTTATTGCACAATATTAAGTAAACAGTTTTTTTTTTTTTTGGGGGGGGGGGGATGTTGGCGTTTGTTTTCTTCCCTTTGTAAAAAAGGGAATTAAAGAACAAAGAAAAACCCCATAAACCAGACTCACAGGTTCACAGGAATCTTAATCCATGCAAAGAAGATATCTATAATACAGCACGGATTAAAAACATAAAGTACAATTCCGTAAAAATTGGTCGATTGTGACATTAATTTTGTATGATGTTATTTTTTCTCATAAATGCAATGGACATCTTCTTTTAAGACATGTATAAAGCTTTGAGATATACAGCCAATTAGTGCCAAACACAAGATGCATTTTTTTTCCCCTGTTCTCTTGATAATTTTTTGGTTTTTTGTGCCTATCACCATTGTTAGCAGCAGCAGTTCTCACCTCTGGGCCAGGCCCCATAATGTCTTGAATGCACATTAGTACCACAAGCGGCACAGACACCACTGTGGGAATCCCTGCGTGATACATCCAAAGAGATGTCCAGTGTACTTTCCATTAGGATGAGAAGCTGTGAGTGCAAACACTGAATAATCGCTCACACAAGCAGACAGAAGAAAAGCAACTGAGGACTCTTCAAAACGTTTTGTCAGTTCACGAACTGTGGCTTCTCATGTTTTTATCCATAGAAGTAGTAGGTGCCCAGGCAGTCGATTTTGTAGAGTCCTGGTTAGACTTCTAGCAGCTTGCTTACACTGCTGTTGCAAGAGAAGTTTCCTAAATTTGTTTTTAATTTAGTTCTGGAATGAATACCGTGTTTCATTTAAAAAAGGAAAAGAAAGCCTTATTTTCCCAGTCACCTTTATTTCACTAGAAAAGTATAAATTACCATCATAAATACAGATATCACCAGTATAAAAATTAGATTCTCATTTATAAAATAAATATTAAAATAGTCAAAGCAACAGGTACCTCCAAATCCCATCACCAAGATGATTTGAATCTGTACCACATAAACTATTCCTTCACCGTTTAATTAAAAATAATGTTCAAAATGCAGTAAATACTGCTACCTACTCAGTGCTTGCACAAAGTGAATTACTACTGACTCAAAAACTGCAAAGTATTTGTTTTAACACTTCCTTGGAACCATCAGACTACCCTGTCTGTATAACTCTAGGTGTAGTGTAATCCAGACATGCTTTCCAGACGGATGGCAACTACTTACTTCAAGAGTGTTCGTTACAAGCCGCCAGGTACAGCAGTTTCAGTTTGTTTACCTTTGATTGTCTATCTCCGAAGATAAATAGACCAAGTCAATTTTACCCAAGAAGTGCAGAAATAATAGTAGCATCTTTGTCACATCTGAACTAACAGATCATTTCACCAGTTAATAACATTAAAAGAAAGTCAGATAAATACAGGTTTTGTTTCACAGAAACAGAAAGATATTCCTTTTAGTTAGGTAAAGGACACATATTTTTCAAAAGTAGTGTTTTTTTCCCCTAAAAAGTACCATAAATCTGGCTCAGTAAGGCCATGCTTTCAGGATGGCCGTACCTGGTCAAGTCAAAGGTCCATCTAGTTCAGAATCCTGTTTCAGACAGGGCGATAGAAGGAGCCTGGGAGGAGTATACGAGCAGGGTCAGGATATTGTACCAGATCACTAGAATACTCTGCCAGCCTCCAGCCACCAGTGACACAGGGCTTCCTGATACCTGGATTTTTCATCTGTGGCTGTCTAATGGATTTTTGACTCCACATAAAGTTTGGGCTTCAAAATTCCTGTATCAGAAAGCCTAAAACGCTCCACCTAATTACCCAATTTATGCTTTTTTTGGGAGCTTTTTTTTTGCTTTGGAACTTCCACTACTGTCCACAATAATTTCTCCTTAGACACCATTGAGAGGTTCCTTTTCTCTTGCCGCTTTTGCTTTCTTGCGTTTACACAGGATCACTGATAGGACAATGGCAAGAGTGATGACCGCAATTGCTATCACTGCTATGATGATAAAGACTTCGGCTCCATATTCTGTAGGAGAGGGAAAAAAATCCAAGATTCAGTTATCAGAAGCCAAAATGTCACAGTGCCACAAACTCTTAGAAGCCACTCCACCGAACTAAAAAATACTTCCTGTATTTTACAGCCTCATAGAAGGGGAGTGACCACCTCAGTGTGAACTGAATTAATTTTAACATTCATTTGTTGGACTAAAGTAAAGCTTTATTTCACCTGGTTCACGCTAGGTTTTAATCTAGTTTAGCTGGTGCACTAAAGTGCCATGCTACCACCACAAGTATAAATCAAACCATTCCCCCTACCCCTGCATTACTTCTGTGGAACTAAGTCCAAGTGGAAATTTATTCTAGGTTAGAAGCTAGAAAGCACCAACAGAAGAGATTTCTATTCAAGTTGTAATTTACTAGAATTCAAATATTGTGATAAACAAAAATATTTATCTAGATGAGAAAGTTAATTTGGGAGAGTTAATTTGCCAATTTTAGAAGAGCTTTTCTACCTAGAGTGCAAATATTCTTATCTGGTGGAGAAGAAAGATACAGCACAGTAATGTGATATTATTTAATAAATATTGATGACTTTATATTGAATAAAGCGCTATCCAGATTGTTTGTCTGGAATTAGACTGGCTGATTCACCAACCACTCACTAACTTTCTGCCAGTAAAGAAGTTAATCTGCCAACCTTTGATCTTGCAATGTAACAGTAAAAGTCTTAGTCTCATCATCTGATTTTGAGATAATAACTGAGGTTCAGTTCAAACTACAAGTCAATGGAAATGCCTGTTATGTAGGTTTCCAGCACTCCTCCTATGTTAAAGGGCTATTCCTTCAAGCATAGTTAGTGCTATGGGACCTGTTATTGGAAGGATCTGAGGAAAACAATCAAAAAACAAAAAAATGAAGCTGAAGGCTAGTGATGAGATCTCAAACCTCAGCGACCAGTCATCAGCTCCAACAATTTAAAACTAACTGAAACAGTTTAGCAATACTTTAAGACCAGCCTCAATTAGCTAAAGATGGTGGACTCTTACTTAATGTGGATTCTTCCCATGAGTTTCCATGTTCAGCCTGTGTCCTCTCACTTATACAGCAAATAATTTATTTTATAACTTAGACATCACAACTTAAAGAGGTATAAAAATACACTCCGAATCAAAGTGACTTTTTGTTAGAATGCTAAAGACTGCATGACAAACTTCACCGGATACCTACCATCTAAGATATTTCTTCCTACACTGGTGCAAAGCACCACGCTTTCTTGTCCGTTACGGTTTTCTCTGCGGGAGGGAATGATTCCCTGTACGTAGAAGCAGTAGTTCTTTGTGCTGTCAACGCTTACGTCAAATGTATGGCTTTTTGTTGTTGCATCTTTCTGTAAAGGAAAAAAATTATTTCAAGGAAGTGTTCTTTGCAGAAATGTTAGCTTTTAAGGTAGCACAGAAATTGTGTAGATATAATATAGATACAGAATATGTAAAAAGTAGAGTTAGAACTTACCTTTCCAGAACTTTGATCTTTCCAGTAGTAGAGTTTGTATTCCAGGTCATGTTGGAAAATATCTCGAATACTTTTAAAGCTTCCATTAGGAAATGTATATGGTGTAAGTGGATCTTGGAACACAACATTCAGTTCTGAACCTTTTTGTGTGTAATTCTTTATCTCCGGTTTTCCCAGAACAGCTAAACAAACATTTTTAGAATTAAAAAAGTGGCATCATCTTCTCTACGCGACATGTTCTTTTTTCTTCCTCCCTGTACTCCCTTCCCTCCTCAAATCTATTCTAAGTTTACAGAGCCAAAGTAATACAGTGAAATCCTGGATTGTTAACAAATATTTTCATCTGCTACACAACGTTAATAAAATGGTCTACTCACTGCAGCGAGAAACAAATGGCAACTAAAATCTTACACACTCCCCTACTACAGGGAAAGCTTTATGCCTGAACATCTTCTCAGGTATCAGTATCTATACGAAAAACCTTTAGGCACAATCTAAACCTTGTTTAAGTCAACGGCAGTAATCTTGAATGGAAGTTTATGATAAGATCTAATTGGCAATCCTACTTACTTTGACTGTAAGGTGTAAATTTTTCAGACACTCCAAACGGTGGTTCTTCAAAGTTATCCATCGCCGAGGGCATTACAGACAGTACGTGTGCTGTATAGGTCTCTTTTACGTTCTTGAGCACATCCGTAACATCACACTCTGTTTCTGCTGTCAGTATGCATTTTTTTTTGGTGTCAGATGTCTGTCTGCAAAACCAAGATAGAAGTGTCAACACTTTCCAAGCAGACTTTTACGTATTGAGATATGTTAAAAAACATTTTTTCCCCTCAAACTGTATAGATTTCCCTCATCTGGTGGAACAGTCTTGCAAGTTTACCAGGCTGAGAAGAAGAACAAAACCTCAAAACCCACTATCCTGTACAGCTATATTTCACAATTCAAAGTAGAATCAAGGAAATCCAATACGAGCCATATTAATTACAGAAATATGTTATTGGATTTGTATGTGACTTAAAAATTCAATCTTTTATATGAATTGAATGGAAACCATAAGTAGTTCTGATTTTGCATTTTTCTGCAGTTGACTTATTTTAAAAATATAAGATGCATAAATCACTTTGAAAGTGTTATTCCTGATGCATCTGAAAACTATTGCCTTAAGAAACATCAGTTGTCCTAGGAAGCTCTGTTGACACCGATATTAATTGTTTAATGTGACAACAATTTCCCCTCATACATGTCACTTGTGTTTGCATCTATGCAGGTGCAAATGTCACTAAGAACCAGACAGTAGCAGCAATTTTCATTGCAGAATTACAATTTTTAAAATATTGAAAAAAAACATGACCCATGCACTTCTCTTGATTTTTAAATGATAGAAAGCGGGTCCATTTACTTGAGAAATAATACCGAAACCAGGAAAAAAAGTGTTAATTCCCCATTTTACTTCCTAATAAGAAGGAATGGAAGAACAGATTAGATATTACTGCTTCAATTCTTTTCCTTGCGTTTGATGGTGAACTAAGGAAAAGAAAAATTGTGTTATCTCAGCTGAAAGAGTAAGAGTGCCAACTGTTTGGAATTAACAAATGAGTTTTCCCCCAAGTAAGCCACATTTTATTTAAGAGTCGTCTGAAGTCCCTGAATCTACTTCACCATATTTCTTATAACATCCCAGATCAGTTAGTGACATTGTTCTAGAGATGCCTTGAAAAAGGACAGAGAAGACTTGATCTTTGTGATCAAACGAATGTACTCTGTTAAGGTACATAGATGAGAAAACAAACATTTAAGCACACTTCATCCATCCAAGAGCAACTTGCCTAAAAAAGTGCTTCCATATCAGAACTAAACCTGATTCTATACTGAATCTTGGGCAAACAGACTTCAATTTTTTTGCAAGCACAAATGGCTTGAAAGAAACTCCAGATTCATAAATTTCATAAAATTCATTCTGCTAAGTGTGTGCTTCTAAGTCTATTAATTTAATCACTCCCTTAAAGAATAAAAGGGCACATTAGGCCATTGCACTGGTATTTCATCCATTAGTCATGAGAGAGCTCTCTTTTCTACGCCACTTTTACAGACAGAGGAGACTACAGTACCATATTTTCATTAAAATGTAGGAGAGTTGATGATGCAGTTTCCCTTTGGGGCATGTTTAATAATGGTCTATGAATTAATATGGGAGCTAAGAACAGCACAGATTTATTACTGAACTTCGTGGAATTTTTTGTGCAGTACTGGAAGTAGTGTTAGACACGTCACATAAGCTGGCTACCTTTTATGTGCACGACATTTCATAGCTTACACAAAACATGACGACAGAGGAAGTCTCAACAGAGGTAGATGAACAAAGGTAATTTTTACTATTACCCAGCAAGACAAATTATTCATTTAGTGTGATTCATCGATTAGAATAAAACGCAGACTCATATTTACCAGACACCTCCCAAGACTAAAGACTTAGTCCAGACACCTTGAAATACAAAATAAAGGTGAAGTTCTATCAACACATGGTATGTCAGATTGAGCGTCAACTTCTTCCAAGTACCCTGGCCTAGACCTCCAGTGCGGCCGGCCCACACCGAACCTCAAAACTAAAATACTGATCTAAAAGCTCAACTGTCCATTTCTGAAGTGGACAAAACCAGAAGCCCGAATCAGATATTCTTGTAGCTGGCTATAAAGAAGTATTAGCAGCTGGGTTGGCAGTTTTCCCAAACCCTCATGTTTGAGCTCTTTTGCCTGTTACATTCAGTCTCAGAAATATTTAAACACACTCTATCTGCATCTTCTTCAGTTGCCATTAATGGACACACCTTGGTGTTATTTACTTACCCATGTATTTCTACTGTATATAAGTAACCTGACGGTTTTGGTTGCCATTGTAGTATAGTCTTAAAATTGATTGAAGACCAAGTTATATTAACTGCTGTTGGTAGTTCTGGATTGCCTTTAAAATACAGAAGAGAAGAGTGCTGTCAGTCATATTACATTAACTCCTGGTTCCCTGCAGTCACTGTTTAGCTACATGAAGCAGTTGCTGTTAATTGCTACTTGGAAATGTTCTTTTGGGGGAAAAGGCTCGGTCCTGCCCTCTGGGCTCATGCTTGTCTTACTAAAGGAATGTGTCCTGGCAGAAGCGAGAAATAGGAGAAGAAAATTATTTTCCCTCTTATAACTCCCAGGTTGCTGAGGTAACTCATTTTGAGTTCTATCTAATGTTTCCTTTTTGATCCAAGACCTCTGAAGAAGCTACAAAAGCTTGAAGATACAATGTCCAAGCACCAAACAAACGCAGCAGCGTAGTTCAAAACCATGCCCGGCTATATCTGCTGCAGAAGGCGTTACCTCCTAGTTTCCCCATTAATTTATTTTGGGAAGATAAAATCTTTAAAAATCAGCGGTTGCCCTGCGTGCTTCCATCTGAGAAGGGCTACCCTCAGATGAACTCGTGGCCTGCGCACAAGCGGAAGGGACCCTGTGGTGACCCACGAGCCCGCTGCCCCGGCAGACGCCACCGCTGCTTCGGGGAAACTGGGGAGGAAGCCGGAGCGGAAAACCCCGCACAACCTCTGTAACCTCTGGAAATCAAGAGTTTCACTGAGTGATATCCTAACTATTTCCTAAATACCACCTTCTCTGCCTCTCCGACAAGCTGGGAACTGGGGACGAGGGAAAGAAAACTTTCTGGTCACTCCTTGTCACCGTCGGTCAGCGGTGGTGGCCAACTGCCACCCGCTGAGACCCCCACTGTCCCCCC